TTCCCGGTGCTTACTGGGTCAGAGCTGTGGGTTTTAAAAATGGCGCCCAAGATAGCAGCTGTCTTAAAGGGGCAGCCTCCTTTTTAAATTTTTTTTTTGTTTTTGCTCAATTCTGTTCTGTGGCTTTTTTTGTTTTGTTTTTTGCTTGACAATCTTGGTGCAGCTCTTTGCATTTTTTTTTCTGCTGCTGTTTTGGCTCTTTGTTAAATGGGTTGGCCACCCCTGAGCTATTAAATTATAAATCCAACTCTTGCTTAGCGCCTTGTTCATGTCCCCCATTAACTTTAACAGGGGATTCTTCATCTTGAGTGAGAAATTTTTAAATTAACAAATGCAAAGTTTAGACTGAAGTTTTAAAATATTTAATTTTTACATCCATTTCATTTTGTTTTTAGATGTGAGTATCTACTGGGAATAAAAGGGCGAGAATTTGTCAATCAAATTCAGGCAAGATTCCCCCATCTCCTTGAACAGGTAGACTAACTTTTTAATGTAACTTTTTGGTTGCTAATATCAACATTAGACGGTGGTACACAACTTCCCCCCTCTGCTTTCTAGATACTGCTTTAGGTTGTGACTGGTATGAGTTTTAAGTTTGATTGCTCATAGAGACAGCTTTACACAGAAATGAATGGACGTAATTCTATTAGTCTTCAAACCAGACTCTTAACGCTGTTTCCATGAACAATTTGTGGCGTTAGACTTGATATTGAACTGGTAGTATTGCGACCACAGGCCATTTGAAGAACACAACAGTCAAACTTTGTAACACTTGGTATCAGGCAACAAGAATTCTGGACTTGGTATCAAGAAAGGTAGTTCTGATTATATGGGGGTTTAGTGATTACATCAGATCAATAAATATAAGTACAGAAACTGGTTCTCGGTGCTTCACAGTTGTGGGACTTTTAAAAACTATTTGCAACAGATTTTTGCATAAAGAAAGCATAGTGTGTAATGTCGTCTAGGGTGTGTCTACACAGCAGGGCTTAATTCAGTTGTGTTTAATAAATGTCAATTGTGTAGCTTATTTCAAAATTGGGAGCATCTACACAGCACTTATTTTGAAATGGAGCACTCCTCCTCTGACTTCCCTTACTCCTCATACAATGATGGTCACGGGAGTCAGAGTAAGAAGTCCTCCAGTTTGGCAGTATTTTGACATTAGTCCACATCTACACAGTAGGCAGTTATTTTGAAATTTATTTTGAAATAATGTTGTGTAGACATACCCCTAGAGAAACTTAAGTTGTAGAAACTGCTTCGCTTTTACCCCATACGCATTCATAGTAGGAGTTGTTGAGACTTGCATAATCTTATCTACAAATATTTCACCTAGACTATTGAGTTAAAATTCTTAATTGCAGACCATTGGCATGAGGGGGAGGCTTGTGATGGGACAAATTAGCTCTAAGGTTCTGGCCCATGATTAGGGCTCTTAAATGCTACAATAACAGAATGCACTGGAATTATCAGTCTTGTATGCAAAGAGAAAAGGATGCTGACTTTATTTTTAATGCTTTCTTTGCATTCTGTAGCTTTTGTCAACTTCAGATACTCCTGTGGACGAAAGTGCTGATCCATCAAGTACGTACCATGTAGCATGAAAGATGTTAACTAACATGTAATGTAAATATTAGCTTGCTAAGTACTTCATAGCATTTTAGAAGCAGCAGCATTATTTTTCTTATTAGTTGTATAGTTGACTTAAGTACATGAGGTATCTGAAATTTTATACTAAAATAGTCCTTTCAAGTTTGTTTGCCAGAAATTTCTCATCCTTTTATAACTTCCCCAATGCTAGGAATTTGTATACATACTGGCTGTGTCTAGGCTGGCAAGTTGGAAAAACTTGCCAGCTGTCTACACTGGCCTCTTGAATTTCTGCAAGAACACTGACGATCTCATGTAAGAAATCAGTGCTTCTTGCGGAAATACTATGCTGCTTCAGTTTGGGCAAAAGTCCTTTTGCGCAAAAGGGCCAGTGTAGACAGCTCAGACTTGTTTTGCGCAAAAAAGCCCTGATCGTGAAAATGGTGATTGGGGCTTTTTTGTGCAAAAGGGTGTCTAGATTGGCACAGACGCTTTTCCGCAAAAGTGCTTTTGCGGAAAAGCGTCCATGCCCATCTAGATGCTCTTTTCCGCAAATGCTTTTAAAGGAAAACTTTTCCGTTAAAAGCATTTGCAGAAAATCATGCCTTTCTAGACGTAGCTACTGTGTGTGGGTGGTTTTAAAAAAAAAAAAAGTTTGCCTTTGTGTAGTGTCTAACTCTGTGGTGGACAGTAACACAGTGGCAATTCAGCATGATTAGCCCCAATGGGCTGTTGCTGTTTTATCTGCACAGCTGCAGGTATCTGTTGGCCAGGAACAGTGATGTGAAGCTGATGGGAGTGTAGGAAATGGTGTCCTGGTGCATGCTGCTTCCTACCATTCCCATTGGCTGGGAATGGCACTCCATGGCCAACAGGAGATGAGATTGCTGGTACTTGTGGCCATGCAGGTAAATATAGTGTGCGTGTGTGTGGGGGGGGTGTCCACCAGGAGCTAACCCTGGTGGACCGAATCAGGCCTGTGGGTCAGTATTTGCCCACCCTGCTCTCACTGGACTCAGTGGGCTCATTGATCATGCTGTCTTCTGCTAGAATAACCCAAGGTTTGGACCACTCTAATATCAGAGCTTCTGAAAGGGTGCTATAATTAAACAAGGTACATACAACCCTACCCTGCTGAGGGCCCTGCAACTATGCCAGCACCTTCAAAAGTGGGCATTGCTAGCTTGTAGACACATGTAACTACTAGGCTGTGTCTACATGGGGCCACTTATTCCGGAAAATCAGCCGCTTTTCCGGAATAAGCTGCGAGCTGTCTACACTGTCCCCTTGAATTTCCAGAAAAGCACTGATGATCTACTGTAAGAAATCAGCTGCTTTTCCGGAAAAGCATCCTGCCAATGTAGACGCTCTTTTTCCGGAAATACTTATAACGGAAAACTGTTCCGGAAAAGGGCCAGTGTAGACACACAGTAGTCTTTTCCCGCAAAAAAGCCCTGATCGAAAATGGCGATCGGGGCTTTTTTCCGGGAAAAGCACATCTACGTTGGCCATGGATGCTTTTCCAGAAAAAGGGCTTTTCCGGAAAAGCATCCTGCCAATGTAGACGCTCTTTTTCCGGAAATACTTATAACGGAAAACTGTTCCGTTTTAAGCATTTCTGGAAAATCATGCCAGTGTAGACGTAGCCCTACAGTGTTAGACAGCTTCCTCTAGGTCTGTGAAGTTGCTTTCTTCAGTGGAATAATCAAGTATGATGACAGTGCTGTCTGACTTCCCCATAGTGTCAGTGGCCTCGATTGCAAGTGCCAGGAAAAGGATTACCAGTAGTAGAACTGTAACCTTTCTATTAATGCAGTTGGACTCAAAAGTTGGTATAATATATGAGAGAGTTATGCACATACCTCCCTAACACTTTTATTCTAATCTAATGGTCAGCAATGATGTGACCTGGATTCCCCTGCTGTGGCTGGTTTAAGATTTTTGTTATAGCAAAGCTTTTTTTGTTTAAATCATCCTAATAAAATTGTAAACAGTTCTAAATTGAAATCTTTATTAAGAAATTAGGGCCCATTGTATTAAATGATTACTATGCTAAACTTCTAGGTTTTTATATTCATGATGCTAGAAATATCTAAAGTTTTCAAATCAACTAAATTATTCTCTTCATCCCAATTTATTTTGAATAGATCTTCATTCTGGATCTGGAGACAGCCATTCAGAAGATGCAATCATGATGAACACCCCAGTGGTTAAAGCTGCCTTGGAGATGGGATTTAGTAGAAGACTAATAAAGCAGACTGTTCAGAGTAAAATCTTAGCAACTGAGGAAAATTACAAGACAATTAATGAACTGGTGTCTGATCTGCTTACTGCAGAAGATGAAAAGAGGGAAGAGGAGAAGGAAAGACAGTCTGAAGAAGTAGCATCAGGTAAGCATCTGGCACTTGGTTTCACTATAATCTGTTTAGGTTTTTAGCTAATTCTGGGGTAAGGTCTATTCATTTTAATTTACCTCTTTTTAAAAAATTGAGGATTAACACTATCAGTATGGAATGTAGGCACCAATCTTGCAGTTGTTCTTAGTGATGCGCTCCTGGCTTCCCTAAGGCTCCATATGGTCTTGACTCTGCTAAGGAGTACAATGTAGATGGACTCATGGACTGTACTTTTTGTCGATATGCCAGTGTTTTGATAGGTCAGTCATATAAACATGGTGTCTGGCATACTAGCCCCACATGTGGCTATTTGATCAGTTGCTTGGCTAGTTCGCTATAGCAGTACTCACTGTAGTGACTACTACTTCAGAACTGGTTGGCTACTATGGATATAAACCAAAGAACTGACTTCTACCACATCAAATTTGTACTTACAAGCATTTCTTGGTCTCCTGAATTTACTACTAATCAGCTCTGTTATTTCTGTGACTACTCAGCTGTAGTCTTAAGCTACATCTGCATTGCTCTCTTGCGCAAGAACATATGCAAATGAGGCATGGCAAACAGCACCATGCCTCATTTGCATACTTAAGCCGCCATTTTGCACAAGGGGCTTTTGCGGAAGAAGGAGCAGCCTACACTGCTTCTTGTGCAAAAACCCTGTTGCGCAAGAGCCATTCTGCCGCTTATTTTCAGGCAGACAAGAAGCAGTGTAGGCTGCTCCTTCTTCTGCAAAAGCCCCTTGAGGAAAATGGTGGCTCATTGAATATGCAAATGAGGTGTGGCGATTTGCATATGTTGCACAAGAGCACAATGTAGACATAGCCATGGAGTTTAAAGTACAGGAGACTAGATACTTCAAGGAACATAGTTAGATATAGTTAGTCAGTGGGGTCTGACCCAACTAACCCTGTGGTGCTTAAGCTAATTCTAAGACTGCATAAGGAACTCTAAGTTACCTTCAGGAGATCCCAAAGGAAGGAAGGTGCTATGTTTGCTTGCCTTTGGTAAGAGAAACATTGGAAAACCTGTAGAATTATAGACTGGTCAGCCTAATTTCAGTACCTGAAGCACTGAAAATCCTGCATAATGAAGGGTTTAGTTGGGGGGGAGGGAAGGAAACCTGGCCATGTTTAGCATTGAAGATTAAGGGGGATAGGAGGGAAAGGTACTGATAAAACAGCCCTTACTGCAGGGGCAGCCAACCAGTTGGACTGAGCCAAAATAGCTGTGGATGATAGTGCAAAGAGCCACATATTATATTTTTATAGATCTATAACTAGGGCTTGACAAACCCTGGCGAGAGCCACTCGCCAGCCCCGGACCGTGCATGCGCCAGACCAAGCGCCGGTGAATAGGGCGCACGGAGCAACTGGCTGAAATCTACTCGCCATGGACAAGTAGATAGGGCTTGACAAACTGCTCAATCTATAACCCTAAGGCTCCCCCCAGCCTCCCTGCTCTAACCCGATGCACCTAGCCCTCCCCCAGAGCCAGGCACCCCCTGCCCTCCCCCTCTAACGCAATTCCTCTCCCAGCCTCAGGTTTTATTAAATTTGGGTCTCACTAGAGTCACCGCTATAGCTATGTGCTTTCCCTCCAGGCATGCGTGCACGGAGTGGCCATGAACTATCCAGGCGCGCGGCTCTGAAAGACAGTTGAATGGTCCCTTGAAGGCAGGTGCTGCCACCCCTTTCCCCAATCCCAGATTTTTTTTGCGTTAAATTGCTATCTGGCCAGCTTTTTTAACATTGGAAAACAAAGATATGTCTGGGGAAAAACCGGACGTATGGTAACGCTAATTCATAAGAGCCGCATTTCTATGAGCAAAGAGCCGCATGCAGCTCTCTGCTTGGCCGCCCCTGCCTTACAGTATTGCCAGACTCGTCTGAAGAGGGCAAAGAACAATTGGTCTCAATGTCTACTGAATGGGCTTAGCCTGCAGAAAGGGAATTCTGGGTTACATGCTGGGGGGGAGGGAATTCAAACTACAGTAAAACTCCATAGTCTGGCATCCAATTGTACGGCATGCCTGATAGTTTGGCATCAAAATGGCAAGAGCCTAGTGAGTGAGCTTTGGCAAAAAACAAGTCACAGGGTGGCGGCAGCTGAACCAAGCAAGACTGGACAGGACCGAGTCAGTCTGCCACTGGCATTGTCTGAAGCTGGACAGTGCTTGTGCTACAATAAAAAGGGTTAAAAACACTTGTGTGTGGTTATAAATAACCAGTTTATAGTACCTCCTGATAGTCGGGCATATCCAATAATCCTGCACCACCTAGATCCCAAAGGTTCTGGATTATCGGAAGTCTACTGCATATAAGATTAGTTAAGTATTGTAACAGCTTGCCAAGGAAGTCTAGAATGCTTATCGCTGAAGTCTTTTAAAAACAGGTTGCACAAACACCTGTCAGGGACACTGTAGAATTAGATATTTGGTCTTACCTTAATGAAGGGGGAGTGAAATAGAAGTGGCCTTGAAAAGGTCCTCTATCTCTCTCCTTTGATTCTTGTATGCAAACTGAAAAGCATATATTCTTGTAAGGCTTTGAATTTGGGCTTGAAACTCCTGAAAAACAGTAGGAGTCATGACTTAATTTCTGTAGCACAACACATTAAAATGTGGTGTGTATATTCCTAGCACTTATATCCACAGTGTAAAATTGGATAGACACCCTGGAAAATCACAATTGTGTATTGAGTGTTCTGTTCTTTGGTCTTTCACATAATCCTGTCCCTGTGTGGGGTGGATATTTTTTGGAAAAAAAATTAGTCCACCCAGCTTTGCCAGTATTTTTGATTGGCAGTAGATTTTTTTTTGTTAAGCTAGTGCCAATGATATAACAGGCCTTTGGGTCTGTGCATTTCACCTGGGCAATAAATATAACTTTATTCCCCAACACCAGTTAATGTATAAGATAGCCCTCTTGGAGAAGAGGGGCATGGTAAAACTTCATAGAACTTAAACTGTTTGTCTGCCTCATATGTAAAGTCTGTAATTCTTGTAAATAACTACTGACCTGGAGTGGGAAGTGGAATGAAAAGCATTAAGATCTCTAACTTGATAGTCCACATCAGTTACTGGTAACAATGCAATTTTCAAGATTTTTAACTTCCTGAATTTTTTCCCTTGAATTTCAGATGACCTGTCCTTAATCCGTAAGAATCGACTGGCTTTGTTTCAGCGTTTGACATGTGTGCTTCCTGTCCTAGAGAGTTTACTATCAGCCAAAGTGATTTCTGAACTTGAACATGATGTTATTAAACAAAAAACCCAAACTCCATTGCAAGCAAGGGAACTGATTGATACAATTTTAGTGAAAGGAAATGAAGCAGCGCTCATATTCCGAAACTGCCTGCGAGAGTGCGATCCTATATTATACAAAGATTTATTTGGTGAGTTACACAGACCTACTGTCTTTCCTTTTTAGTCTCTTTAATTGACTTTAAGTCTAACACACTTTATTCTTAATACATAGAGCTCTGTGCAGAGAAATTTTTGTACCTGCCGATATGGATATCATGGATACAAAGCAGGTATCTGCAGGGCTCTACCAGGAACCGCACCCATGAAAGCAGCAACATCTTGAGTTAGTGCTCAGCTGGGGCAGCTTCTCCAGTGTGGCTGTACCTCCCTCAGCTTTACCTACCTCAGTGGATACCAGGCTCACCAGCAGCTGTTCAAGAACATGTGAACCACTTAGACAGCACGAGTCCATTCCAGGCAGCCATCTGTGTCCTGTGAGTGGCAGCCTGACATGCTGCTGTTTTTCACTGCTGCAGTTTCCAGTAGGGCCCTGCAGCTCCGTGGATATCAACACACAGGGCTCTACAAACAGTCTGTGTAGTACTAAAGCAGTAGATTATATTCAGTAGAATTTGATAATTCTGATGACTAAAATGTTCCTTTTGTTTCTTTAGTTGAAAAGAACATTAAGTATGTCCCTACAGAAGACACATTAGGTAAATTTCAATTTCACTTATTTGAATGGTCTGGATAATTATGGTTGTCAAACATATTTTTTTTTCATTTGACAGTGGATTATACCACAGAACGTGACAGACAAGTGAGGGATTGTCACACCCTGCTCTGTGGTCTTGATTGCTTCATAATGCTTTGCTTTGCACCCAACTGACAGTGCTCTCAAACAGTCTACCAGCATACAAGTTATTCTGAGTGTAGTCTAGCCTGGTTCAGTGGTTCTGTCACAGCACACTAACACTCCAGTAACCAGTCCAGCCTTGGTTACTATTTGTAGAGTGACTTCATAGTCACAATTCTTTTTTTCCACAAAAGTGTGTTCCACCCCCAAACTCCTTTCCAGATATTAAAGGTCTATTCTGCCTGCAAAGGGGTCAATATTCACCAGTTTGCTATTTAACTAGCGTTATCCAGTAGTTCAGTTTAAACACAGTGCTGTTTTATTCCTTAATCCAAACTAAACCAACTAATCTTGAGTATAAAGCATTGAAGTAAAATCTTGTAGTCACTTTCTAGTAGACGAAGACTTAAGCTAAAAATAAAATCTTAACACATGATGTTAGCAACTTGGCTGACAAATTCTTTTGTCAGGATCTCCCCCATAAAAATCTTGGATAGCACCTTTTTAAAAATCACTTTCACAGACCAGTCACCCTCCGCACATGTGTCTGGTAAACACTGTCATTTCTATAACTCCAGACCTACATTACACAAGAATACTAATGATTAATGTGGTGGTCACTTTTCAAATACCTCACAGCATATTTTTTTTACAGATTATTCATACACCACTGTAATTACAGGGGTGCTTTTGATCAGACACACCTGATAGTTTAGTGCTTTCTAAATAAAATCTGGGCATGGGCACACATTCTATTTGTAATTAGTTAACATAAACGCTTCCCCTGTGCTTTGAATGCTGAAAATGGCTGCCACCAGAGGATGTCCCAAGTTCACTGAGCTTCTAAAATGTTACTGCAGTGGTCCCCAACGCAGTGCCCGCAGGCGCCATGGCGCCCGTTGGGGCGTTTGTGTGTTTCTGCCGACAACCTGGGCCGGCCCCGCCCCCGGCACGCGGCGCACTGGAGGTGCTGGCCCCACGCGCGCGACACGCACCGGCGCCAGGTGCGTGGCGCTCGGGCGGCCCCAGCCCCTGGGCACGCAGTGCTCAAGGCGCGTGGCTCAGGCGGCGGCGCCAGCCCTGGGCCCATGGCACAAGGCGCTCGGACAGCCTCGGGCATGCCGGCGCCAGGTGCAAGGGCATCCCTGTCCCCTGGCGTGCCCCTGGACGCGCAGCCCTGCACCCCGGGCGCCTGGCGCGTGAGTGGCCCCACCCCCGGGCACCCGAGAGCCTCTAAAGGTTGGGGACCACTGTCTTACTGTGTAATTACTTGGAGGCATAAACAATGGACAGTCTTAAGAACTATAGCTTTCCATATCTGCTGACTATTCCATTGTCTGCCTATGCTTCCTACTTCTGTCCTGCCAGTGATTTCCTTCTCGTCTCCTAACTTCCTGGCTCTAGAAAATGTACCTGCTTTTTCTGTCTCACTACATAAAGATGGCTGGAGATTTTATATAAATTGAAAAACTGGGTAGCAGTCACTGAACTGTATTGTTTTTTCTGCCTCTAATAAGAATGCCCCGAAGTTACTGGATTTTAAAATCATTGTGGTGCTAAGTGGAATCTCTTTTTTCCCCTTGCTCTTTTCAGGGTTACCCATAGAAGAACAATTGAGAAGATTACAGGAGGAAAGAACCTGTAAAGTTTGCATGGACAAAGAAGTTTCTATTGTATTTATTCCATGTGGTCATCTAGTGGTGTGCAAAGAATGTGCTCCTTCCCTTAGAAAATGCCCTATTTGCAGGGGGACAATAAAGGGTACAGTTCGTACATTTCTTTCATGAGGAGAGAAATTTACAAGAGGCATCCGTGCATCCTAGCAGTGCTCAAGGCTAACCCAGTCAGATGTTAAGAATGGAAAACTAGTGAAGAAGATGATAAATCGCTGTTATCCCACAGTCACATGAAGTAAACTGAGGAGCAGATGAAGGCTTATGCTGCTAAAGATTTTTTTTTTTTTTGTGAAACCCATGTAATTATACAAAATTGACAGACTTATTACTTTTTGGTGAAGAACCTGTTTCAGAACCTCTTGGTGAATGAGGAAGCGATCCTATAAACATGGCTTTATCCTAACTTAAGAAATTATTTACTAGTGCAACATTTAGTCCTAATATAAAGCTACCTTAACATTTTCACAAGACTTACCTAGAGATGACCCTTGAATGATACTTTAAGACTATAGTCCTCTACTTGAGCTCTTTTGTTGGTAGTTCTTAAAGAATACAACTTTATAAAGTCTGTTCAGTAAATGTGTATACTATTTAATTATATGAAAACAGCATTAAAATGTGTTCAATGAACTTTCTGTATTTTTGCTTTTAAAATGCTCCCAAAGTTAGCTTTACATTTTTGTATAGCTTGTAGTGACAATGGAAAAGTGTTTGCCAACTATTTAGTTTGTTTTTTAATAACACTTTGCATAGCAAATTTAATCCTGCTTTTAGGGATGTGAAGGCTTAACTGGTAAGCCTGATCCATTAAGGATGAGGCTTGCAAGTTAAGATTAACCGGTGTGGTAGGAGCACATGCTCTGGGAGGGAACTGGTCTAGCCCTGCAGGGGCCTTGCTTGCAGGCATGAGCATCCTCCAGGCAGGGGCTGTTGCAACCAGCCTGGAGCACTCCCTGCTTGCAAGGTGTGTGTGGGGGGGGGAGGGAGGAGAGGCCCAGCCCAGCCTGAGCCAGGCTGGAGCATCCCCCCTTCTTCTAATTGGTTAACCAGTTAATATGTATGTTTGGTTAGCCAATTAAATGGGATTTTACATCCTTACTTTAGTTCCTCCTTTACTCAGAATTGAGGGTAGACAATGCCAATATTATGCACAATCAAGAATGAGTGAATGTACTGTGATCAAAATGTTATTTAGGTGGCTCCTCAATACAAACAAAAGGGATGACAGTTCAGTTTCCTCTCCCTCATGAAGGAAAATGTTCCTAACAGAGCAGCAGTCCCTATACTCACTACTCTGTCCTTGGGAAGGAATCGTTAAGTCCTGGTATAGGTCTTGCATTTGAACTTGGAAACGAGGCAGCTGGACAGTACTGGCTATAGCTTTTAAGATGTGATTAGGTAAACAAAGGTTCTTTGAGATGTAGTTCCATATCTGTAGCCCAGTGAGGATTATGTGCATGTGGCATGAGCCTGGAGCTTTTGAAAACTCATAAGATTGCCCACTGCATCGGTTTCACTGATATAGTGGTTACCCCTACCAGAAATTATTTACACTCTGCTTGATAAGTGGTTTTTATTAAATACAAAAAATAGGGTCTGAGTAGCTGCAAGTGAAAACAATCTAAGTTACTAACATTTTTAAATGAGCAAGAAACCTCAGCAAGTTTTAATCCTTATTGATCTTTACTCTACCTTGGGTCTACAGCTTTTCAGAGTCCTTTGTTAGGTACCATCTTAGGGTGGGCCTGGCAGTTTCAAAAGCCAGCTGAAGCTACAAGTTGATTGCTCCCAGGCTGGGAATCCTTTGTTTGGCTCACCTTGCCTCTAGGTTCAAGATGCTTCCAGTACCAGGTGGCACAGTTACACATCTTTGTGGGGCCAGCAGACTTACAGGACAAGTAAGACTATTCACAGGCTGTTGATTTGATCATTGATTCTTTTAAGTTTCTGGGGCATTGGAAATGGCCTTAATTTGCACACTTAGAATTATAAACAAACACTTCAAAGTTCTAACTTTTTGTACAAGAATGATACATGCACAGAAATAGTGATAAGCACTGTCAGCAGGTAACATTAAAATGGATGTTACATAAGGCATTTTGTCAAGTATATTTGTTACGCATATTCATATCCACAAGCTAATTTTCATAAAGTATGGGAGAGGCTGGACTGTCCCGGGAGGGGGCGGAAAGCAATCAGTTGAATGAGAAGATATTTTTGCAAAACTGCAGCTAACAGGTGGGTAAAGATTGTCTTTCATTCTCTGCTGGATTGTCATTCACTAATGGTGGTAGCAGCAGGCACCTTAATGGTGCAGGGGTCAGCCTATTCGTCAGGTGGAGAGGGTGTGGGTTGGAGTGTCTGAGTCTGCTGGTGTGTTTGGCCAGTAGCTCTGGGAGTGTTGGTGATTGGAGGATGCTTCAATGGAGGAGGAGCAGAAGTCAAAAATGGTAAAGGCCAGATCTAGCTATCAGGATTGTTGTCTTCTCTCATCCAATCTTGTGGCTCAGGCAAGAAGTGGGAGGAGGATGAAGACAAAGCATAACTTTTGCAATCTGACCAAAGTTCCAACACATTCTCTCAGGCAATATTGGAGTGCATTTGGTATTGTGGGATGTGAAAAGATTGAATAGGGTTCCACATTGGCTGAAGATGTCTGTGACTACAAATAATGCGACTCCCATTCATGGCCAGTTGCAAAGTTTCTGCTTGGTAGGTAAGCTGCTGTCAAAAGATTATGATGCACCATTCCCAAAGATACTTGGCTTCCACACTCAGGAGCTTCTCTCCTCATTTTATTGTAGACCATGGTGATGTCAAATGTCTGTTTTGAATAGTTAGCAGGAACATCTGGCAAGCTTTGTGTACTGCCTGGAGTTCCAATGCATTGTTCAGCCTGGACTTACCTTGCTGACTTAATTAAAGAAATTAATGGGTTGAACAAGAGCTGGGTAAACAATGAATGGTCTTGTAGCACCTTAGAGACTAACAAAGTGTACGTGGTATGAGCTTTCGTGGGCTCGTGAAGATTATCTGAAGAAGGGGTTGTGCCCATGAAAGCTCACGATACCATCTACTATTAGTCTGTAATAAAAAATGTAAACAAACAACAAGCCTACCCCACTGAAACTCTTGAAGATCTGAGTAGAGAATCTACAGTGATTTTAAACTAGGGCTTGAATCCAGCCTGTGCACTGATGTAAGTTGACTAGGATGGGTCTGTGACTTAATTGGTACTCTAGTGTTGATTATAAACTCAGACCAGGTCCCCTGTTTCATACAGCATCACACACATAGTCCGTAACTCACCTGTTCCATGCCCCTGGACAACAAAATGCCAGTTGACCTAAAGTTTCCATCGATGTGGGACTTAGAAGCAAGTAATGGAATCAACTGTGCACTAGTGTAGGTTAAATCTAACTGGTTGAACCTGCATATAGTTGTATTGTTTTGGTTGCCTAATGCAGAAACCCAAAACCAGCTCAGCTGAAGCTGTTTACCTCAAGTCTAAAGAGATTTTTATAACCTGATTTTGGCTTCTCTCATCTCTATTAATTAGATGTATAAACCAACTTGGCTACAAATGAGTTAAGCCATGGGTGCTGACAGCTGCCTAACTTGATTCAAAGCTGGGGTGATGGACAAAGGTTATAAATATCCTAGCCTCCCTTACCACATACTTTCCTTTTGGGATAGAATCTCAGGTGCTGTGACTTCTCAAAATCCACTGGGGAATGGGAAAGGGAGAACTCTAACTCTCTGGCAGCAGGAGGTATGACTTAGTTACCAGCTTGACTTAAAGCCACCTTAGATTTTTTTTTTCCCCTTCCCTTACAATATTGTATTCATTCAAACTAAAACAATGTGTCTGCATCCACACACAGACCGCTCAGTGTGGTGGTGGTAAAGTTTGATGTACTGTAGTTAGATGCTATGCTGCCACCTAGTGCAAAGCTGTTTTAATTTTTGGTTTCTTTTTATTTATGGAGCAGAGAGCCAATCTGCACTAAAAGCTGATAAATTGATTTCTCTCATAAACCAGACTTCATTCTTCTGTCTCTTCAGCCCCTATTCGCCACCTTTTGTGATTAAAAAATGTTTGTGTCAAAGCAAGCACAACAGTTATTTGGGCAAAACTCTCTAAAGCAATGGAATCTAGAAAAATCACTCCTAATCTGTTTGAAAATTCTTGTAATGCAGTCTTGCCCTCTGACTACACAATGATGATGCAGAAGCTGAGACTAATTGATCACAATACTTCCTTCCGGTCTTTGTCTATGAACGAAGAGCAGCCTACCATGGTATTCAAGCGTTTGTCTAGACAGCAATTTGTGGCAAACTGGGGTGTCAGTCTACCCTGTAGTAAGTAACCTGCTGTGCACACTAAACATTCCCCCGTGGGTAAGGTTGCTAACTTTTTAGTCTCACAAAACCAAACACCCTTTCCTTCCCCCTGCTGAGGCCCTACCCCTGCTCACTCCATTTCCTTCCGGCCAATGGGAGCTGTAGAGCCAGCACTTGCGATGGGAGCAGTATGAGGCTGCTCCTATACATAGAAGCTGGACAGGAGACATGCCACTGCTTCCAGGAACCCCACAGAGCCACATCAGTCTGGAAGCCTTCCTTAGTTCTGCTGCACTATTAGCTAGACTTTTAACAGCCCAGTTAGCAGAACAATCAGGATCCCTTTTTGACTGGGTGTTCGTGTTGCAGATCAGACACCCGACAACCCTACCAGTGTGCTTGGATCTACTTCCATTTCTACCATGCAGCATAACTCAAAGCACGCAGGGAAACTTTAAGTACCTGCCCACAGGTTGCACCCAGGCTCTTAATGTGTGGCTCATATGTGCAGGATAGATTTACACCCCAACTTGCTGTGAACTAAAGGTTGGGGTGGCTGACTGTACCAGTTCTAAGGTGGCTGTGATCTGTTGCTGTGACAACTGGTTAGCTAGCACATAGGCAGATATGCTCCTCATGGTGACACTGTTGGCGTGTAAAGTGGTGTAAAATGAAACCAAAAGAGGAGTGGCTGAAGTCCACTGCATGTAGAACCTTCAGAGGCTTTTAGTGTGAAGGCAGAGTGAGTGAGGCTTAACAATATTAATCTCTGTAGAGGGGAAAGTATTGTTTGGCAGACCCAGTGGCTTCTGATGGTTTTTATAAACTAATCAACTATTGTTCTTATTTAGCACCATTCTTAATGCCTTGTTTGAAAGTTAGCAGCGTCAGTGCTCACTAACAGTCTTTTGGCAGAGCTTCAGTTGCTGATACAATAATAGAAAAGAACAGTTTCTTCTCAGTATTGAACTTTCTTTGACCCTTTGTGCAAAAGTTTTGCAGCAGACATTGGTAAACAAAAAAAGGGAATATAAACACTGACTTCCTATGTAATGCTGCTGACCAAGAGACTCGAGGCGGTTGTAAAATGTCAGCATTCCAAACCCACTGCCCTTCTTGAACTGGCAGGAGATGTGCTTGGGCTGTTGGGAAATTTTAAAATGATTTTAAACAGCCATTGAACTGGATGCTCTGATTTATCAGATGAAGCCAGAGGGCAAGCTTCCTAACTGCTATAAATCAGCAGCGTTTCATTGACTTCAGTGGAGCCACTGCTACTTTA